CAGTACAAAAAGTTACATAGTGCACCTTTAAGATTTTATCATATAACGCTCTTGTGCAAATCTCTGTTCATTGGCAAAAAGACTAATCATTTTGCCATCTTGTTTTGGCTGCAGTCCATAACTGTCCCAAACATACAAAAAATGGGGGGTAAATATCTGGTGGAGTGGGTTACGATGATCTTTAGCCCTGAGTTTGACCAGGCAGGCTCTGAGCATGTGCCCAGCCTACAGCAGGGCGCAGCAGTAGCAGGCAGGCGAGTGGGAGGGTGGAGGCGGAGGTCAGGGCTCTGGGTGAGCCTCACAGGGCAAGGGCGGGGGCTGGAGTGATCAGTCTTTCTTTTGACAGCCTGCAGCTATCGTGTAGTTTAGGCATTGACAAATCTGGAATGAAACCTCAGGACAAATTTGGCTAAGGCTTTTTCATATTGGACAAAAAGCAAATGTTGACTCTAAATACATTCATTCTGTAATCTTTCTCCATTCAATAATTTTTAGTTTGAGTTAAATATAACACTTTTTGATGATCCAGTTTAACGTTGCATAATATATCGCAATTCATTCAAAATCACAATTTGAGTTTAGACTTGTACAAAAAGGTTTTAAAATGCATTTTGCACTTACTTTGATTGTTATTTTGCGTGTTTGTATTTCAGTCTTCTCTCAAATGTTATTGCTCCTAGACATATTTTGACTTAATGTATATGTTTAAAATATGCACTTTATAGGCCATACACTTTTATTGTGACTGAAAACAAAAGTACCAGTACATGTTTTTAACAAGTTTTAGTTATTAATTTATTTCTAACTTGATTATGTGTTGCAGGTAGAGGAGGCAGTGCGAGGATCTTTCCCTGTACCAATGTGATGACTACAAAACTGCAAAGAACTGTACCCAAAATGTGAACCAGTCACCATCTTCCACGGACACACTGACTCTTGAAGATATATTGAGAAATTCCTGAAGAGACCCAGATAGACTCTTTATCTCACCAACCCAATTTCTGAAACTTTCTATGTCTTCTATGTACAACCACGCGTGAAACTGAGACTCATAAATGACTGCATTTGGAACATGTGGAAGGTTTCAGTTGATGTTATGATTATTAGCCAAAGCTATATGTGCGTATATGTATGTTACAAAGAGTTAAAAATAAAATTTAAACTATACAAGAGTGCTTGGATTGCTGAAATGTAAAAGAAAAAAAACTGTATCATGTTCAGTTGAAGCTTACATATTTGTGTCTTTAATATTATCAATAAAAACATTCTGAAATCCACAAATGTTCTATTCTTTATCAATTGTATGTTTTTTAGGACTAGATGTGATTTGAAATGTGAGCCGTTAAAAAGGTTTCTCTTCAGTGTCTCAAGTAGAAATCCTGTTTTTCTCTTCACTATTGCTCCAAGTCAATTTTTAGAGAAACAAACAAGACTCACACCAGACAAATCTAGAACTATAATGAGAGTCTCAACTCTTCTGAGTTAAAAAAAAAACAAAAAAACATATGAGCAGAAATGTTTACTTTTCTTTATGGTTTGAGACTTAATAGCCCAACTTTTTGCAAAGCAAATACACAAAACAGGTTGAAAAATCAATTGAATCACTTAAAATTTGATAAATTCTTTTTTCAAAATCACTACATTTCATCCTTTAATTGCTCTAAAAATCTCAGCAAATACTTTAACTTTCTACTCTTTAAGTACATTTTTAAACAGGTACTTTAATACTTTTAAAATAGATTTGTTCATGTGATACCTTGAATAACTTTACCTTTGTATTTGTACTTTTAGTCAAAAAAAATAAAAAAATCAAAATAAATAAATAAATAAATAGTACTCCTGATTAGAGCACATCGTGTTTTCACTATTACTATCACTATCAATTTCACATCATTTAAACTATCAATATCAGTAAACATGGTTTTGAGTTAGTTTTTTGTTTGCTGATGTTTCTATATGGGTCACTCAAAGTTTTGATGCCTTCAGTAAGAACCTATAATGTAAATAACCATAGAAAAACATACATGAAAAAGTGTCCAAATATGTTACATGAGGACCCATAAGAGTCCGATGTTAAACCGCTGTCACACCTTGACGATTTAGCCAGCGTATGCCGACGTATGAAAAATTTGGCAAATAGGCTGATGTACGTCGGATAAGTTCTAGGTAAGTATTGTATAACTTCTGAGCACACTAAAGCACGCTGGCATACGGTGACATACGGCAAGGTCGTCGAAAAATTTTGAGCATGCTAAAAATTTCTCGACGGATGTCAGCGTATGTTTATACGTCATGCATACGCGGGCCAAGTTGTAGGTAAGTTGACACACGATAATTGTAAGTTACTCATAAGTCCAAATAAATTGAGAAAATGTCTAGCGTACACATAAATTATTAGTAACGTGTTTTGAACCCATGTGTAACTTATATCGAACTTATCTCCAATGCATATTGATGTATGCAGATGTATTTGGCATGTTCCAGACGACCGCAGAACTTACTGAACGTGTTTCTAACTTGTAGCTACCGTATAACGGCGTATTGGCAGCGTTTAGGAGAATCGGTATAAAAATGGGGAGGAAACAGTCAGTACTTTGTGCTCCCATATATCATATGAGCTCATGCAAAACACTTGATCAGAGAATACTTCAGTCACAGAGGATATCAGACAGTGGAAAAATGTCCTCACTGAGAGCCGTGGGAAACAGTCATTTGCATAAAAAAAAAAAGAGCGTCGTGTAGGCGATCTGTGGAGAACACCATATAGTCTAACCGATCAATTCATTGCACCAGCTCAATAAGAAGACTTTATTACTCACCCTGTATTATCCATAGAATTTGTCCTCCGCAAATAATGACATCCAGTCGACAAAACCGCATTATTAATCCATTTGAGTCGTTCTTTGAAAGTAAAAAGGCGAGAGGCGCACGTGTGTTTGTTTACATCCAGCGCACGTGTGATGCAGATTAGCGATAGTGACTCTACTTCCTGTGGATTTTATCTCCAGTCTTTTATGCTTTAAAAACCATGTATCTGAAGTATTGCACCACATTTCACAAATAATAACTCAGTTTTGTCTTGTATCTAAACTAGAAGTGCAGTGCTCTGAGATCTAGAAGTGCAGTGACGAATGGTTTTTACTGTAGACAGGAAACAGCTGACGCCATCGCGCTCACAACTTTATAGCCTGTGGTCCGCAGTTATATCCCGCCGCTCTATAGGCTATGTACTGACCTATCAGTATTGTTGCATTCAGCACCATATACAGAGAGATTGACATGACGATATATCATATGATATGATTTAAATTGTCAAGTGGCAGCCTTTTAATAGGTGACGACAAGTGTTCATTGGCGATACGCTGCCGTGCGCTATGCATAGGTTAGACTGTCGTTAGGCAAGTTGGGGACGCTGGCAACATGTTAAGCATTAGTTGGTATAAGTTATATATAAGTTATCAAAACGTTCAATATAAGTTACTAATACGTTATGTATATGCCCAACACGTTATGAATACGATATGTGTACACCCAAAATAAAAAATAAAAAACATTGATGGTTCAGTGTATGCCAGCGTTTTAGGGAAATTCTGGTATGTCGGCATACGCTTTCTAAATCGTCAAGGTGTGACAGGGCCTTTAGCCCACACTATATGATCATTACCCACTCACCGAAAGTTCTACAATAAATACAAAATTAATGTATAACAAAAATACAGTTTCTAATTATTTTTCTGTATATATTTTAAAAAAGCTCATTTGCATAAGTTCTATAAATGAATTGGGTTAGAATTTCATCGCCGTTAGTAACCGTGACTCTTGTAGGGGACACATTCCATAAAGCCTCACCATTTCAGACAAGTTTTCAGTACAGAGCGCACACGTTTTTTGTAGCTGAGAAGAAACTGTAGATTTTACGATGTTTTCAAAAGTTCTACGCTGGTTTAAGGTGAGTTATTGATAAGTTATTGATAAATTGTAGTGTAGCTTTTCAGTTATGAGTTTTGTAACAAGCGAATAAACACAAAGCTCGTGAGTGGATGTAGAGTGACAACTTTTGTTTCTCTGTAGTTATTTCAGTACGCTGAGTATTTTATGATTTCCCTGCTAATATTCTGTATTCTTTTCCAACAGAAATCTTCAGGGAAGGTGTCACCAACAGGGAGCGCCCCCAAAGAGCCTCAGAGGTAACTCCACCATTTACCTAACACAAATCTGACGTAAGCACACATATTGCTTACAATATTGTTAATATATACTTCTACCTGTATTGTAGCATCATTTTCTAGTTTGGAAATTAAAGAAATTTGAAAGAAATCAAATGCTTTGCTTTCACAACTCCCCTCAGACACCAGAGATCGACGGATGTTGTTTCGGCAGGAGGTGTTGCACGTGCTGGGGACCGGTAAGTCTCAGAACAGAACTGAACCTTGTGGACATTTTCACCTAGATGCTTCTAGATGCTTGGTGATCATAACTGACATTGTGTTTGCCTCCACAGACAGAGGACAGAGCTCCAAAACCCCTCACTACTCAACACCACAGTGGTCCCAAACCTGCACCACGGAGACGGTTCTTTAGGTTTCTAAAGAGCTTCAATGTATGTAGTCCACATGCACCTTTAATGATAGCATGCCCTCAGATGTGAGTATCTCAACAGAATAGTCACAGTTTCCATCTTGCAGTGGCAGTTTAAAGCCAAGGTAAGGTTTAATTCTCAGATCAGAGCTTTTAACCATGTTGTGCTTGGTACAATTCTTGCCTGTTTAAACAATCTTTAAATCAGCTATTTTTAGGGGGAATATTGCCCTGTCAACCCCCAATATCTAAGGTGATCTTAGGTGTGAACTTGAGAAATAATTTTTATATGGTTTGTTGGTTATTTTTCTAGAGTACACCAGTCCAAATCTGGGTCTAAAACCAAAATCCTACCTCAGGATAAACCCGTGTCCAAGGCAGGTTCAGTGACTCAGTCCAAACAGGAGCACCTGTCAATGGTAATGGCAGAACTGCCCCCAGAGGAGACAGGCATCGTGTCCAAGGAAAAACCTGTGACCCAAGAGAAGACCACGCCCACAGTGAATATCCTCTCCAAGGGTGAGCCTATGAGCCAGGTGGCCACCATTCCATCCAAGAAAGGGCTGGATCTGGCACGCTCTGGGTGAGTTTACTACCACTGTCCATCTGATAATATTCATGTCATCATATAGAAAACTCAGAATAATTCATATCTTTGAATTTCAGGCTTCCAAACATCGGTAACTCCTGTTACATGAATGCCTGTATCCAGGCTCTCCGGACCATAAAGCCGTTCATGTCGATGCTTAGTGTTCAGGAAAATGTGTGGGCAAATTGTGATGAGGCTGAGCTGCTCAGGTAGGCTTTTTAGAACAGACCATTTAATTATATTAAGAACTACTGGAATTCTTTCAGGACATTAAACAGGCAGTGTCTTCTCCCATACAAGGCAGCTCAAGACTCTCGCAGATGTCCCATACTCTTCTGAGCATGTCCACATGACAGCTTTGGCCTGGAGCTTCAAAGTGGCTGTGGCACAGCAGGCTCCAATATTCGGGGATTTCCAACAACAAGTAAGTTTGAACTGACGGTCAAGAGGATAAATCTAAACTGGTCCAGACCGGTTCAGGCCTTATGTAGTTTTAGTGTTTTGATGTTCAGTCTCATTTTGTTCCTGTTGATTCTCAGGATGCGCACGAGTTGCTTATGTCACTGATGGAGCAGATCCAGAGCTTTGCTCCAATCCTGGATGTCTTTGCTTTTAGCCTTGAGACAAGCTATGTCTGCCCAGTGAAGGAGCACATGAGGTTCCAAATGGAGACCACCAGGACCTGCAAAAGTTATGGACAGGCACTTCTAGACTTTGATCGATACATGTATTTTTCACGTTTTTCTCCTTTACCATCATATTGATAATGATACTGTATCTGCTGCTGTATCTTCCCTAAATGCTCTGACGTATTTGTTCAAGTGTTTGTTGTAGATGTACTCAGGGATCATCCCGGTCCTTTCTTTAGACCTGTCTTCTGGCCGCTCCATCAGAAAACTCCTGGCCCACCATTTGAGGGTATGTGCTATCTCAGTTTATCTACAAATTCATTTTATTCACCTGAAACATAATCCAACTCATTTACAGGAGCTGGAGTACAGGTGTGAGTGTGGAAGCACACTCTCTGGACAGACAGCATGTATAGCCACTCTGCCAAAGTAAGTCTGCACAGTAAACAGTGGTATTTGAAATTAAAAAAATATTTCTTAACTTTCTTTAACTTAACTCTCTTCCTGCAGTGTCCTCATTCTCCATCTGAAGAGATTCAGTTATGACTCTCAGTTTAGGATGGAGAAAGTGATGCATCGCATCCAGCTGGATGAAGATTTAGTCATCCAATCCAAACAGGTAAACACTCATATCTTATGTCATATTTTACAGAGTGAAAATAACACATAGTTAAAAGTAAATCAAGTTATATTGATTGATTGATGGATTTCCTTTTGCCCTTTTCAGAAGGCTGGATGTTTCAAATTGGTCAGCATCATTTCTCATTTGGAATATTCAGCAGACCACGGTATGATACTTTCTTTAATGAAAATATGTCAAGAAATATATTTGGTGTTACCTTTTGCTAAAATCTAAATGTGTGTGTTTTAGGACATTATATCTGCGATGGGCTTGGCCCAGACAACAGTCCCCTGCAGCCCAAAGAAACATGGCTCACCTATGATGATCTCCATGTCACCAAGACAAGCGCACAGGACATCTGCTGAAAGAGGGCCAGATCGGCATATATCCTTTTCTATGAGCTGCAGAAACCTGGCTCCTGCACTATTCCACAGCAGTGAATTTCTACCACTGGGTAAAATAGAGACTACACCTCTTAAAGAAGGGATGTGGTCTTTCCTGGGAAGGAGAGGAGGTGTACAGGAATGATGGCAAAAAAGAAATTCAATTCTGTCAACTGGACACAAGTTTTTGATCAAAGCTCGTGGACAATGAATTAGGAATTATACTTCAAAACTTTATAAACCCCAGGCCTATGTGATTATAAAAATTCTGCCAAATTTTAAGTTTTGACCCTGGGAGTATCCAGACAAGTTTGGAGCACAGCTCAGAAACTTTGACTAGAGATTTTGGTGAAAGCTTCACAGTTTGTGTTTACTTGTGTATAGTATAGAGTAAAGCCATCTGTAAGTTTATTTTATTTTTTGTCACCGGTAGACGTGAAACCTGTCCTCCCCTCTCCTGACCTTTGTTCAGAATCATGTGTGCTCTCACGTTTGAATTTCCAAAGCAGGTTGGAACAAACTGGGAAGAAAAGGTGAACAACATTCAGATTTGGAATACACTGCGATGGCCCCTGCAGCACACAGGAAGTTATAATGACCAACATCGTCCAACTCAACCACACTGGACATCTGCCGAGGGCCCTATCTGCCGGGGTCCTATACTCTTTTGTAACAACTCCACAGAGTGCAGCCTGGATGTATCAACTCTCAATTCTCTCTATTTGAGCTCACATAAGTGAATCCCATTAGAAATAACCTGCCTCCTTTCACTGCTTTATTCGAGCGAAAGGTGAATCTGTTGAATCTGCACCACTGGGTAGTGAGGCCTATACAAGAGAGAGCACCCTTTGCCCTCAGTGGGTGTGATTTAGCCCTGAAGAGTTTGAAGAGTCATCTTTAGTGAAATGGGATTTGACCAGAGGGTTTTTGGCCCTGGCAATATCCAGAAAAGTCTAGAACACAGCTCAGAAGCTTGGACTGGAGTCTTAAGACTTTAGTGAAAGCTTCACTGTTTGTATTTACTTTTACTTTCACTGGTGGTAAAATAAACTAGACCATAAATATTTTTGAATAAATAACTAACATCAACTAACATTTAAATGTAAATTTTAACCCTTTTTTTTTTCAAAAACAATTCTGAATTTCCAGGAAAGAAGTGTGCCTGTGTTCTGCCAATGCACTGACAGGGTAGAGTTAAGCTCCACAGTTCAAATGAATAAACTCATACATTTTAAACAAAACCTTATGTGATCTCAATAGTTCTTAGAAAAGAGAAAGGATTATTTTCAAATGTGTTGTCAATATGTCACTGCTGACGTCTTACCTTGTCATTTCGGAGACTCATTCACTCTCACCAAAAAAAGAAAAAAAAGAAAATAAAAAAGAAAATGCAACTTTCACAAAACTGTCTAAAATCTGAGCACCTGAGCAAAATCTGCCAGTCATAACCATACATTACTTTCTACAAACTGACACTAGAGGTAAAAGACTAGAGGTAAAGGAGTCCGTCCCACACTTAACTAGAGTAACCTTAGCCAAAACATCACCTGGGGCGAACTGTGACAGACTAAACCAGAATATCTCGTTCTGATAGGTGGAAAATGTCGAGATTTAGAGACAGACTGATCTTGCTCCTGGGCGTTTGACCTAGTGGGGAGTGGGGTTAAGTCTTTCCTTGGTGGAGAGAGATTTGGTAGTTTCTCTTGAGAATTTCTGTGGACATGATGTGAGCAATGATGCATGGTACAGCCAGCGGCTTAAAGGAATTGTATGTAGCCTGGGCTCTTAATGTTTAAATAAGTTACTACAATCACAACTGAACCTGGGTTGCCAGAGCCTAAACCTCAGGACAAGAGGATACATTTTTCTCAGTACATATAAGCTCAGAACCTCCAGAAATCACTCAAAAGCTGCACTAGTACTGAATGATTGGCTGCACGTGCTGGGATTTGGGCAGTAAGAGAGTTCTTTTAGGTTTAAACCAACTGGATTTAAGCATTGGAACTGGAAACCCAAATGAAGCTCATTCTGGTTACTGCTTGGATAACCGTTTAGAGAACCAAAATACCAATTAAATCTGCCATCATGCCCAACTTTTTTGTAATTAAGAATAAATCAGCATTAGAATTGTAACCAGTAAAAGCTACATTTGATCTGAACATGTCTACCTTGATCTCTGGGGACACTTATAGGTCAGGTTTATGAAATTTAAAATCAAAATCTTGCATACAGTTCCTTTAACAACAACTTTTAGGTTATTGTAAAATGCATTCAAGCGAGACGGGAAATTATAACTTGACAACATAGAAGCCTGGAAGCTAACTCTTACTAACTGCGTCTTTAATTACCATGACTCCAAGCTACTAATCAAATCACCTCAAACATGTCATATCATATTTGTCTTTTTGCACAGCGAGTGACAGGCTCAACAATCAAATTAAGTTCCCCTCAGCAAGCCCACAAGTGTAATTACACACTAAGTAGGAACAAATCATCACAGGCATGCCGTCATATAGTCAAAGGGAGCAAATTAGAAAGACACAAAGAAACAGGCTGTCACGTTCAATTAGCAATTTCATTATAACAATTCTCTTTTTAACAAATGGGTTTATAATTAAAAACTGTACAGAAGTATGTAGCAGTGGTTTCTATTATGGCTAATAATTGACATTCTTCTTTGTGTAGCATCTGTCATTTCTTATTCAAATAAGTACCTGCTTGACAACTGCCTGCTTTAGCATACATGTTCAGGATTTCAGAATATTAATACTGTACACTACGCTGGCCTCCAACGGTGACCCCAATTTCTACAACCATGATCTAAAACAAGCTAAACAACAAAGGTAAAAGATATATTTTCAATCAGGTCAACAAAGAAGTGAAGCGAGTGTGGGCGAGGAGGAGTGAATTTGTAGCCGAGTTCCATATTAGGAATAGGAATTTATTTACAGATAAACTAGCAAAATAAAAACACCAGGATCATGTAGAGTGGGTTAATACGAACATATAAGACCAAAATGACGAGGATCACTGAAGCAGTTACAGAAAGAGAGGTAACAATTTTTCAGCGTAAAGTCAATTAGAGCCAGAGTCGATGGAGCCGGAAGCGCCCCCATGCTAACTGCTTCAAAAAAACATACTTCATAAAATTATTGCTTGCCTGTACCACCATAGAAACCTGCGGGAAACACAATTTAAACTAAACTAACATGTGCGTGAAGACCAGAAGAAGTAGTGTAGTCAGGTTGGTAATGGGTTTAGTACACTAAATGCCCTCTCTAGACCTGATTAGAGGTTCATAGAGGTTCATTGGCCACTCACCTGGAGAATTTGCCATCTGTAAAGGATAGGTGCCAGGCTCTGTTGTCTGTGCTATTTAAAGGGGACATACTATCTTCAAAAGACTTTATACCATGGCATAATGGCATCCCCTCATCATTAGCTTACTCAGAACTGTGTATTCCAGTATCATCCTTCATTTGAGGCTTGATTGCTCCAAAAAATGTCTTTAAATTTTTTACCTGTCCCCCACTCTCCACCTACTTCTCTGTATTTTAAAAAAGTCAGAGTGTAGGTCATACTTGTACAGTTAAAAAAGGTCAGATAGCAATTTTCAACAATAAATAACAATCCGTTGCTTGCTAGTTCAGTCCTGCAACAGACCTGTTCCTATTATTACATTGTTTTAGATCAAAATTACAGTTTAAATTGAACATTATCTAAAATAGTGATCCACATATTAAAAAAAATGTGTCTGTTTGCTGCAGGTGTTCCAGTCAGTGAGAGCAGGTAGAGGGTGCTCTTGGAAACAGGATCAAAACTTTAAACACAACGAAATCCAGGCACTCCCAAGAAGGACTAAGCCCTGATGAAGACCAGTTTGGTCAACACATGTTGGCTTTGGCCATCTAAATAAACGCCTTTTAACTATATTTTTCCTCGTGTGATTTTTACTTCTTTGGAGTGCCTGGATTTCATTGTGTTTAAAGTGATTTACATATGTTATAGTTTAATATAACCCACCAAAAGGCATAGCATGTTTTCTTTAAGTGCATCTTACAACACAGCCTTAATTATGCATCATATTTCTACTTTATACTTGGGAAAAACTGGGGAGGGTCCCTGGGCACTGCAGACAGCTGCACTGAAGAATGGGTCAAATGCAAAGAACAAATATCCCCATGCGATAATAAAATACCTTATTTCTTTACTAATGCAATAAGACTGGCTGCACATTGTAGCAGTGTTTGTGTGTGCAGTCTGTGGCCTCAGTAGCACCAGGTTAGCAGAGTAATGAATGGTTGCTATCAGCAGATGTGCTTGTGTGTGCATCTTTGATTAACTTCATTAATAAACATGTCACGCTCTGATACGCAGGCAGAGGCATATGGTAAAAAGCAGGAACAGGAAAGAAGTGATTTGCTGTTTGCTCTGGAAAACAAACAAGCCAACAGGTCCTAGCAGATGGCGCAGTGCGAGGTGCTGGTGGGAGGCTCTGTTTCTCTCTGTGGATGTGCACAAGCCGACTATCGCCCTCGGCCGCTTCACCGTAAACAAATAAAGGGGCCTTCTGCTTTCCTGCGCGCTGAGCCTTTTATCCCGCACTGATCTTACCTCCCGATTTCAAAGCACAAAAAAACAAGCTTGTTTTTGGCAAGTTAAAGTGCTGCAGGCCTGATGCTCGCACAAAGAGGCTTAAAGACAAAATGTGTTTAATAATGGCTGTTTGTGTGTGGTGCTCATTTCCCTCTTTGCTCAGTCCATCCTCCCTCAGCATGCCTGCAAGCACACCATTACTTTGTACCAACTGAAACACACAAGTTAGACTCATTTACAATGGTAATAGATGCTGGTAATATATCAGCCCGGAAATCATAGCTTTATCTTGGGGCGTTTTTACTCATGCTGCAAATGTAATTCATTGCTAAGTAAGTACAGCACAGTCCCCAGCCTATGCTTCACCTCACATTACCTGGAGCAGA